GCAGTGAATTCTGGGATCAGAGAAGCAAGGGAGCACTGCATGATGGGGAATCTGTGCTCCAAATGCTAATCAACCCACACACCCAGCTCAGCATTTATCAGACCAGTTCTAATCTGGATTTACAAAGGACTTCCCCCCCCCGCACACACACACACATGCACACACTGCTAAGCAGAAGTAAAGCTTAATAGGCATCTCGGGCTGTACATTCCCCAGTCCCACTATGGGAGGCCTATTTAAACTTGATTGACTAAAACTTGGTTGCCAGGTTAGGGAATGCTGAGGCAAGAGACTGAGTCAGAGGGGGTACGGGCAACATTTGGTCAATGGTAAAGGGTTCATCACAGCATCCAGCCCGTTGGAGCCCTGACCACAAGTGTTGTCATACTTTTCCCGGGATGACTGGTGGAACTCCTCCCCCACCAAAGGTTATGAGCACTCCAATAATTGCTTTAAGTCTGTTAAAAGACTATAGTAAGATCTGGAAAAGTCATGCTAAGCTGAGGCTTGTTCACAAGTAAAAATCCAAAACCCTGATGCTGCAAGCTATCTATTGTTTCTGAAGAAACCATGAGATATCCCATCAGTATATCTGCTATCCATAGGAATTTCAAGTGGCTCCCAAGTGTCTGGTTATTCCCTAATCTTATTTGTTTTCTGATTATCAATCAGTTTCTTGAGATGTTTCAAACCAGATAACCCCTTGTCAATAGAAAAGACAATGATTTACACTATTAAGAATGCTTTAAAGAAGCTGAACTGCGGGTATAAAAATCTGTAAAAAAGCAGCAGTGTGTGTGCTTCCAGAGGAGAACTCTCTCTCTCACACTGCCCGCTTTTCTTCTTGAGACACTGAAAGAAACAGATCATCTCCCTTCAAGGATCGTACTATGGACTTTATCTGTCATCAAACAACCCGAGTGCCTTGGACTGGTGAGATCCCAGCGCTCTCTCTCCCTCTTCTCTGTTCTCTCTAGGCATAAAATTCTGAACCTGAACTGTATTAGATAAGTTTGAGCTAAGTTTCCCCAAATACTTAGTGAAACTAGGGTAATACAGTAACTGTTTGTGTTTATTTTTCCTTTGCATGTCTATTACTACTAGTGCCATCATATATTTCATATACTTAGCAATAAATAACTTTTATAGTCAAACTGGTAGTAACTGGGTATATTTCTCCTTCTCTACTTCTCCTTCCCCACTTGCTCTGCAGCAACACTTCTTTTACCTAAACTAAAGATCCCTGTGAAGCCCAAAAATACTGTGGGGTCTGCTCATCAAAAAGGCTAAAGATTGGGACATGCTCAGTTTGAAACACATAAGGGGATCAGCTTGTATAGGCTGATTGACCCAGTTTGCCTCAGACGTGCCCTAATGAACTGAATGCTGGCCCATGAGGGTGTCATCTGGACACTCAGCCAGATTCAGAGGTCTTCTGTTTAACCGTGTGCTTGTGTCTGACGGAAGTTTATTGTTGTTCTGATGAACTGATTCTGGGCATATGAGGGTGTCAGCCTGTCCATGCTGATCAACCCGGCCGGGTCCGGTGTGTCACATTAATTTGTGTGTATGTATGACTGATTTGGTGACTGGAGGAACCCAGCCCCATTGAAACTGAGTCCTGCAAGACAGCTCCATTGGGGGTGAGGACTTACCCCCTTGCAGAAGGGAGATATACAGCTCTGTATAGAAACACAAGCAACACAAGCAGCACATTAATAGAATTACCAAGACCCTAGAAACATATCTGTAATAAATGAGCACACCCCAAAGTGATGGGCAAATCTGGTAACACATTCTCTTAAGGTCCAGTACAAAAGGGTCCACTTTCAGATGAGTCCAGCCTGTAAATATTGACTGAAAAACCAACGTGAGCCTGCAGAGAGGGCTGCTTTGGTGTTCAGAGGGTGGGAAGGTACATTGCTCAGAGATGTATTTGGTGGCATATGCACCACTGCTATAGGCAAAATGCTTCCCTGTATAAGGAAAATGATTGATTGCTACCCTGTTTATTGCTGCAGAATATAATTGCAGCATTGTTTGGTCTTATCTGAATGCCATCCTTGTATATGGTATAGGAATGCAGGGGCAGCCACCAGTAGGGTAACTGAAGCAGGGTGACCCAGGCAGCAGCTCTTGATGCTACCTTTGGGTGTAGGGGCAGAAAAATGACAGCTGTTGCCACAGACACACAACTGCATTGGTGGCACCAACAGTTACATGTCACTGCTGCCCTGTGTGTTACTGCTGCCTCAGATACCCCACTGCCCTGTAACACCTCTGAGGGTGGAATGAATCTCTCGAGCATACCACCACAGTTTGCCTGTTACCAGATGGTGGTGTGGCTGTAGCCAAAGACTGCAGTCCTTTCATGGAACCTCTGACACTTCCTGGGATGTCTTCCAAGCCACACAGCTAAGGGAGGTGGAGGGGAAGCAGGGAAATGCCTCAAGGTAGAGTACACTTGGTGGTTATGTTTCTTCTGGAGCTGGGGAGTACTTCCTTAGGGCATGTGGGTGGGGAGAGCCTCATCCAGTTTGATATTGAACAGTTCCTTTCCCCAAGAAGGGAGGTCCTCAATGGTAATCTGTACATTTTTGGGAATCCCATATCCCTCAGCAATGTGGAATGCCATTGTCATGCCAGGCTGTGGATGACCAAGTCTGGGGGTCATCTCAGGGTCAGAAGAAGTCAGGAGAGCTGTTTGGGGAACAGTCAGGGATCCAGAAGGTCAGGCAGAGTATGAGGCTAGGAAGCTAGATGGGTTAGGTATGCAGGAAGTCAGGTACCTTGACTGAGGTAAACTACAGCACCAGACAGGCCAAGGCCCCAGGTTCAAAACCACAGTCTGATATTAGTCTTCCCCTGCCCACTTCCTCTAGCAGGCAGTGGTCCAGGCTTTGCCGGGTGATCTTTGCAGAAGTTCTGTACCATATCATGAGTGAGGATATTTTCTATGCGTTCCTTTGTGCATTCCTCTGGTCCATACCCTGTCACTTTACTAGGCAGAGTAATTTTCCTCACCATCTTGAGTCAAGAATTTCTTTGACCAAGTACTCTTATTGGCCATGGACCTTTATGAGTGGTGGAGGAGGATGGGATTGGAAATGGAGCATGTTTTCTGTGTAGGGCTTGAACAGGGACATGTGAAACTGGGACTGGGTGGTTTTTCAGTGTTGTAGGGAGGTGCAATTTGAAAGTGATCGGACTGATTTGATGGGTGATATGGACCAGGTTATAAGCTTCCCCAAAGATCAAGTTTGGTACAGATAGAGCTGTTTTGAGCCGATCAAACACTTCTCAGATCTGGGGTAAAGGATACTGATTGTGACCAGTAATCTGGTTCAGTGCCTAATAATCAGCACATAGATGGAGACTCCCATCCGTTTTTTTTTCAAACAGGATGGCCTCCCTAGTAAGCAGGGTGAACCTGCGTATGAAGCTCTGTGCCAGATTTTTTTTCCCCAGAGAGCATTCGGGTTCTGACATGGCATAAATACACCCCACCAGAATTTTTGCATCTGGCTGTAGATTGAGGGGACAATCATAATCCAAGTGTGGAAGAAGAATATCTACATTTTTCTTTTTGAAGATGTCTGCAAACTCCTGGTATTTCCTGGGTAAGCAGATTTCATGTTCTGGAAACAGTGCCTTTCAGAGGGTGGTGGGGGAGGGGCTCTGCAGCAGGTGGGCCTCCAGTTTGGATTGTAGGGGGCTCTGTCCTCCTGGCCTGCCAATGGCGTTGTTGGTAGTACCCTGAGTTCAAGGTGAGCTCCTGTGCTTTCTTCTTGATCAGGGGGTCATAGCGTGCAACTCAGGAAAACTCTAGAATCAAGGGGTAGTATGGGAAGCAAATGGCCCCAAAGTGTATGGATTCCCTGGTTCCAAGGAGATTCATTTTGAGGGTTGTGGTTTCATACTCCATAGGCCCTGAATCCAGGGGCAAACCATCTATGGTTTCTGTGCTTTCAGGTTTCCATTGCTGGCTTAGTGGGATTTGTAGATCTCATGCCATGGTCTTATCTATGAAATTACCTGGAGCTTGTGTCTAGGAGGGTGGTCAACACAAGGAATGAGCAGTTCTGACCTGGGACTCAAAGATGGATGGATAACAGTAGTTGGGGATTCTGTGGGTTGGGTTTGCTAGTCTTCACTGGTTGTGGATGCCTTGGGGACTTTGGGTGACCCTGAACCAGTCCCCTTCACCACGCCCAGGACCACTCATTTACCTTGACTCCCTTCCTTGGAGGCCAGTGGCATGCTTGTGTCCTGGGGCCCCACTATTGTAGTACCACTCCTGCTGCTCCTCCTCCACTTGCAACCCCATGCCAGTGGGTGTGGGGCTCCGGCACCCCATACCAGAGGAATGGGAACACCCAGAGTGAGGTCAGGAGGCTACCTGGGTCAGGTATCCAAGGAATCCATCAGATAGTAGCAGGACAAGCCGATGGTGCAGCAGCCCAGGTACAAGTTTGAGCCTTGTTACCCAGATGCTTCCCCTTTGGGTCAGAAGTTTATATGGGAAGGGCTAAGAGATCAGTTGACCTTGACTCTCCTCTCTGGTGGCAGGGAGTGGGGGTGTACCTAGGCCCAGATGGCGGGGGAGTGGGGCTGGGTTCTGGCTACCTCTATTAAACAGACAACAGAATTCACAGCATCCAGTCACTTGTAGGGATGTTTTGGTTATGGCTCTTGGATGTAAGGGGAAACCGGTTCTCTTGGGATTCCTTGGTTAAGAGTCAACTGGCAATGTATTTATAGATACAGATGTCCTACCTAGCTAGGGCTTGAAAATTAGCTATTCAAAAGTATCAGATGAATTAAGATTTGTGAAGAAAAAGGTTAACTTGCTTAGGCTCTTTCCTTAGGAGTGGAGCATATCTGCCAGGCCTTCTTATATTTTTAAACCCACCAGGGAGGAGGGCACCAAGTAGATATGGAAATGCTTGGTCACCTGAGGAAGGTCTTGATACTGTCTGTCTACTCTCCTTTTATTTGTAGAGCAAAGGGCAGAAGTCTTTCAGACTTGCTTGACTTGGCCTATCAGTACCTCACTGATAGACAAAGTTACTTCAGTAGACCTAGAGGGCTGCAGTGTGTCAACCAGCCTGTGAGCAGGCTCATTGACTTTTTGAGTAAGATCTGGAGGGCCTTAGTATGTGGAGGAGGGCAGAGGTAAAAATTTATCAGAGTGGAGAATGGGAATGGATTAGCCTCCTGGAAGTCACCTATCCTCAAAAATGGATCTGGAAAACTAATCCCACCTATCCCCAATGACAAAGAAAGTGGAAAGGCCCTCTTGCCTCAGGGTCACCCTGAGAAAGTTGGGTACTTTCCTTGTTGCCACCATGTCAGGGAGCCCATGAGGCTTTTCTAGAGGGCCTTTTCTAGAGGCTTTGCACTGCTGAACTGGATCTGCAAACTGAGCAGAAATGTGCTCATAACCAGAACTGGATGAAGATTCCAATGAGCCAACAGTGACAGGGGTGCCATGAAGCCAGATCCAAAGGCAGGCCCAGTGCTGGAATTATGAATATGAGCTAGAACATGGGCAGGGTCAACAGTACATTATACAGACAGCTGGAAATCACTCAGAACCTGAAGAGATGGAGAAGCTAGTGGAGAAGATGTCAGTGCAAAGTTTAGAAGGTGGGGCAGTCTCCATGACGACAGCTTCTCATGCTTGGGGGAAGCCAGGACAGGGATTTCAGTGCTAGTGTGGAACTTGGCTCAGAAGCCACTGAGCTGTCAAGGGGAGCCTTCTTTGGAGCTAACTGGGTGACTGAAAGCTGGGAGATGAGGCCATAAAGTTGGTGCCTACATCTTTACAGGCTTCACTGGGTAGAGGGGATGCTACATCTCAGAATACAGTAAGTATAGCAAAGGTGAATCAGGTTTCTTCCTGCAGCTCTGGGATGGGGTATGTCTTAGGGACTAGGATTAGAACTGTAGACATTCAAAGGATATACGAGAGCCAAGGCCGAGGATAATCTTGTTGAAGGACGTATGGCACTGAGCTTCATTTTGATGTCTAGGATCTGTGTCAGATCCCATAGATTTGTCCAGGAGATGGACTTGCAGCCTGGTCTCCTGCTCCTTTCTGGACCTACATCTACACGACCTGTGTAGGGAGCACTTTCTGGGAACACAGGAGTCTGAGGCAATACAGGCACTGTGAATGTTCACTTGAGGCAGCTCAGTACCATTGTAGGACAGTGGGGCACATTTTGAATCCTGGTGTGCAGAGAGAAGCCAGGCTTCTATTCTTTCAGCCAAAATAAAAGAATGGTAAACTGACTGACGAGAAGAAAAAGGCCAGCATGCTAGCACAGCATAGCACAGGTACAATTAAGCTTCTATGTCAGGGGAGAGGCCACAGCCTTCAGCAAAAAGTTTAACTATTTTTTAAACTAAAGGAAACAGGTACATTTGACAAATAACAACAATAACAACAAAAAAGAACATGGAAAAAAATAACATTAGAAACTGTCCAAGGACTAAAGTCAGAATTGTGGGCCTTGAATCATGAGCCAGTAATGTGCTCTGCCTTGAGGCAGTAGGTGGTAAAAAGCATGGGAGAGCAGGAAGCGCTGACAAATATTCCCTCAGCACAGAGCACGAGAAGAAGGCAGGGTACAGTGCACCCCACTGCTCCTGCTCTGCCAAATGACTCTGAGGTTGAGTGCTATGGTGCCTGCATGCCCACAGTGAAGGTGTGCATATGGACATGTGGTCAAAGGCAAAAAGTTTAATTTATCCATACCTTGAAAATGTGCTTATACCAGTTCCTGCATTTTCCCAGTACCTAATCTTCATTCTCAGCTCACCAAGCAGAAATGAAAACAAATCCTTATATGACAACATCACTTAGTCATTTTATTTTTTTGCCCTGACTAAAAAACAAATGACAACAAGAGTAATAAGAGAATGATGATGCTTTTCCCAAGGCATTTTCTCAGAGCTTTGTCTCTATTTAAGGTGCATCTGAGTGATTCAGAGTACCTTATTGTTTCATGAAGGAAAAGTATTACACAGTCTTGCCAACTGACCACTGTTATAGAGCAGAGGTCCACCAAGCCCTCTAGGAATGTTGTTTCTCTGATCAAGCAATGGACAAAATTTTTACATCTGAATCCCCTCCTTGTCTCAAACACCCTCTGTGCGGATAGAGAGGAACATGGTACAGCTTATCCAAAATCAGAGGCATTACTGCTGTAAGAGGACCACTGAGGACTGTGTTTCTGAAGGTCTCATCTGGCCCCTTTTCAGTCACTAAAGCTTCCTCTTCAGATACAGCAGACCCTTCTTTTATTATATGCCCCTCTCAGATGGCTTTGAATGGAAACTCTCACCGTAGTCCACACCCTGTAGAACCCCAACAAAATCCTTGGCTTCCCGGTGGTGCTATAAAATATTCAATATTTTTCCAGTTACCTGTGTGCTTGCCCCATTA